ATCTCCTCTCCCTCTTATTTATTTCTTGTCCTGTAATCCTTTTCTTTCATATTTTCATGTTGAGTAAGATGTGTTTCCATACCCAGCTCTGTGTGTATATATATGTGTAGTCTTCCCTTCTTTAACTAGTTCATATGAGAGTGAAGTTCATGTTGCCAACTTCTCCTTACGTCATATATACTTTTCTTTGCATGTCTCATTTTTGTGAGATAATTTTCCCTGTTCTTCCTTTATCTTTCCCCTTCTCATAGAGCATTCCTCTTCCTTGCCCACTGCATTCTTCTTTGGATATCATCCAAACACAACAGAATCATACTCAGGCTCTATGACAAGTTAGACCATTTCTATGATCCCTGATGATGAAAAAGTTCTAAGGGGCTACAGGTATTATTTCCCTATAAAGAATGTAAGCAGAGACTAGTTTTTGCCCTTTGTATGCTCAGTGCTTAGCACAGTACCTGGTACATAGTAGGTGCTTAGTAAATGTTTATTGAATGAATGAATGAACCTTGTTTAGACCTTTATGAATTCTCACTCATATTCACCTTTTTATTATTCTCTTGACTCCTGGGTTTATATATCAAAAATTTCTGCTCAATTCTGGTCTTTTTTTCATCAAGAATGTTTGGGAATATTCCATTTTGGTAAATGTCCATTTTTTCCCCTGAGGATTATACTCAGTTTTGCTGGGCAGGTTATTCTTAGCTATAAAGCCCACATCCTTTGCGTTATACAATGTCATATTCCAAGTTTTTTATAGTAGTGGACGCTAGTTAGTCAGTAAATAAACATTTATTAGTGTCTACCATGTACCAGGCACTGTGCCAAGCAGTGAGGAAACAAAAAGACAAACAACAGTCCCTGTCCTCAAGGAGCTCACAATCTAATGAAGGCAACAGCAAACAAATATGTATAAACATATATATGTATATAGTAGAAATGAGAAATAAGAGAGGGAAGCATTAATTAAGAGGCTTGGGGAAAGCCTCCTGTACAACATGGGATTTTAGTTGGAACTTAAAGGAAGTCAGGAGGCAAGGAGGAGGAGGGAGAACATTCCAAGCATGGATGTCAGCCACAGAAAATGCCTGACACTGAGAGATGCAGTATCTTTTCTGTAGAAGGAGGCCAACATCGCTGGGTCATCGAATACATGTTGGGGAGTAAAGTGTAGAAAGATCAGAAAGGTAGACAGGGCTTAGATTATGAAGGGTTTTGAATGCCAGAGGATTTTGTATTTGATCCTAGAGGTGATAGAGAGCCACTGGAACTTATTGAGTAGGGAAAGATGACATAGCTGGGCCTATGCTTTAGGAAAATCACTTTAGCAGTGGCTTAATGGAAATCATATTGAATCATGTTGGCCCATTATCAGGCATTTCAATTGTCCAGGAATGAGGTGATGAGGGCATGCAGCAGAATGTGGCAGTGTCAAGGGAAGGAGAAATATTTGAGAGATGTTGAAAAGGCAAAATCAATAGGCCTTGGCAACAGCTTGGATATGGGGATGAGAGACGGTGAGGAGTCCAGAATTGCTCCTAGGTTTCAAGCATGGGGAACTAACGGGAATGGTGCTGATAAAGGGTTGTCAGGGATGGGAGAGGATTTCTGGAACCAGCTGGAACCTATTCAATAGAGTTGGCTGTTAAATTTTCATTGTGAGCATTTATGCCTCAGAAATCAGTAAGCACTACAAATAAGGGCTTAGATCACTCCACTGCCTTTACTCCTACACATGTATTGCTAAATAAAGGTGGAGAAAATCATGAAATTGTGCTGACTGGGTCCTCTACAAATTTGTTACATAACCTCAACTGGGCCCTCACTACTGTAAGGCAATCCTTCTACACCTCCCTAAATAATTCATTATCCCACTCACCACAGCAGCTTTTCCAAACCTTTTCATTCCCTCCTCAAATCTCCCATGGATCTTGGTCCCCTCACCCTCTCAGCTGAGAACTTTGCTTCATACCTTACAAAAAAAAATTAAGGACATTCACTGACAGCCGATTCTTCTCCCTTCCTCCTCATCTCATATCACCAAGATGCCTTCTGCCACAATCTCCTCCTTTACTCCTGTCTTACATGAAGAGGTAGCCCTTTTCCTTGCCAAAGCAAATCCCTCTACCTGAACAAGTGATCCCATTACATTCCATCTGCTTCTACAGATTGCCCTTCCTAACATCCCCACTCTTACTTATCTTCAATCACTATCTGCCAGCTGCTTCCCTTCCCCTACCTACAAACATGCCCATGTCTCCACTATCTGCAAAAAACCCTTACTTAAACCATCCATCCTCTCTAAGTACTATCCCATATCTCTCCTGTCTTTTTGACTAAACTCCTTCAGAAGGCCATCTACACTAGGGGCTTCTGTTTACTCTCTTTGAAACTCTCTACAGGACTAACTGATAGACTTAGCTCTTCTTAGCAATACAAGAATCTAAGACAACTTCAAAAGACACGTGATGGAAAATGCTATCCACATTCAGAAAAAGAACTATGGAGTCTGAATGCAGATCAAAGAGTACTATTTGCTCACTCTCTCTCTCTCTCTCTCTCTTTTGTTTCTTCTTTCTCATGATTTCACCCATTGGTTCTAATTCTTTTTTACAACATGATTAACGTGAAAATATGTTTAATATGAATGTATCTGTATAGCCTATATCAGATTGCATGCTTTCTTGGGGAGGAGGAAGGATAGGGAAGGAGAGAAAATTTGAACACAAAATCTTATAGAAGTAAATGTTGAAAACTAAAAATAAATCAATTTTTAAAAAACTCTTTACAATCTAGCTTCTGATCTCATCATTCAACTAAAATTGGTCTCTCCAAAATCATTAACAATCTCTTAATTGTTAAACCAAATAGTCTTTTCTCAATCTTTATCCCTCATGATTTTTCTGAAGCCTTTGATGCTGTCAGTCACCCTCATTTTCTCAATACCTTTTTCTCTCTGGGTTTCCATAACACTGCTCTCTCCTGGTTCTCTCCTTCTCTGCATCTGACCACTCCTTCTCAGTGTGCCTTGCTGGATCTTCATACAGGTCATGTCCACTAAAAGTGAGGATCTCCCAGGGCTCTGTCTGAGCCCTCTTTTCTTATCCTTTTATACTATTTAACTCAGTGATCTCATCAACTCCTATTGATTTCCATCTTGGCCATCTCTATGTTGATGATTCTCAAATCTATTTATCCAGCCCTAACTTCTCGGCTGACCTCCAGTCTTGCATCCTCAACTACCTTTTGGACATCTTAAACTGGATGTCCCATAGACAGCTTAAATTCAACGTGTTTAAACTGAACTCATTGTCTTTCCCCCAAAACCCTCCCCACTTCCAAACTTCCCTTTCATTGTTGAGGACATCCTCCTCCTCCTAGTCATCTAGCTCACAACCTAGGAGTCATCCTTGACTTTTCACTCTCTCTCTTCCCCCATATCCAATCTGCTCATTTTTACCTTCATACTATCTCTTGTATATACCTCCTTCTCTTCTCTGACAGTACTACCACCCTGGTACAGGTCACCTCATTTTTGGACAAAACTGTATTGATTAGTTTATCTGCCAAAGATTCTAGCCTCTGCTGTCCATCCTCCACTTAGCTGTTGAATCTTCCTCATGTGCAAGTGTGACCACCCCTCCCCACCCCAACCCCGACTCAATAAACTCCAGTGTTTTCCTATCATCTCTTGGATCAAATATAAGATCTCTTGTTTGGCATTCAAAACTTTTCACAAATTACTCTGACCACTTTTCCAGTTTTCTTATACTTCATCCCCTTTACTCCCAACATACTCTGTAATCCAGTGACACTAACCTCCTTGCTATTCCTTGAACAAGAAGTTCCATCTCTTGACTTCAGGCATTTTCCTAGGCTAGAAGAATCCTCTTCTCCCTATCTTTACCTCCTGGCTTATCTGGCTTCCTTCAAGTCCTTGCTAAAAATCCCACCTTTTTCAGGAAGCCTTCCCTGATCCTTCACTTTAGTGCCTTCCCTTTGTTGATTATTTCCAAGTTCTTCTTTATACAGCTTGTTTGTATATAGTCATTTGCATGTTGTCTTCCCCAATGGACTGTGAGCTCCTTGAGAGCAAGAACTGTCTTGTGCCTCTCTTTGTATTCTGTTTGCTTAGCACAGTGTCTGGCACATAGTGCGTGCTTAATAAATGTTTGTTGACTGACTGTTTTGTTAATTATCTGGACTTTTAAAAGGTAATAATGCAGATTAACTTGGTGGGGAGAAAAAGTCAGTTGTTAAACATTTACCAGCACACCCCTAGATGCTACTATTTCACAAACAGGTAAAAAATGAGATCTAGAAAAGTAAAGGAACCCAGATCTTTGGTTTGTTCCATAAAGCCAGCATGGAAATTTAGAGTTCTCTCTCCTTGTTCCTATCATTAAATGACAGGATTCCAGGTTAGTCATGGAAATTTCCCTGGAGCCTAGTGACAGTGGGCAAAAGCAATGATGAGTGCACCTCAGAATATACTCAAAGTAGACAGCAACTAATTAGCTCTCTTGAAATTTCTTGCTATGAAGAATACAGCAGTTGGCTTGCTGATTGGTCTGACTGAATTAATGGCATTTTTTTCCCCAAGAGATTTTGTCTTCCCCTCCAGCCTCTGAAGAAGCTTTGTTGCCTGCTGGGAAATTATGTAGAAGAAGGAAGGGGAGCAAAGTTCACGACCAACTGGTGTTGTTTACAAGCCATCTAGAAACAGGACCATCCCCTCATGATTTATAATGTTTGATATCTTTCTGGGTTGGAGCAGGAGGCGGGAGGAGTGCTCTATAAATCAAACCTCCATGTGTCAGCCCGATGTCAGTATTTCTTGAGTCCTCAAGTCCTAGGCAAGTTGGAACAGCAAGCAGATCTGGCAAAGCACTTGATCCCCCTCTCTCACTCCCCATTTTGATGAAACAATGCTAGGGTGAGGTTGGCCCCAGGAGTTATTTCTCTGACTCATTTTCCTTTTGCTCTTTTCACACACTCAGAATGTGACTGCCTCACTGAGAGAGCACCTTGTAACCCTGAGAGGAGGGGCCCAAGTCAGGAAAAGTCCTACCGAAGCACATACAGGCATACCTTGGAGATACTGCAGGTTCAGTTTCCATATTATCACAATAAAGATAATCACACACATTTTTTTTGTTTCCCAGTGCAAATAAAAATTATGCATAGACTATAATGTAGTCTATTAAGTGTGCAATAGTATTATGTCTAAAAAATATGCATGCCTTAATTTAAAAATACTTTATTGCTAAAAAGAAATGCTAACCATCATTTGAGCCTTTAGTCAGTCATAATCTTTTTACTAGTGAAGGGTCTTGTCTTGATGTTGATGGTTGCTGACAAATCAGGGCAATGGCCACCGAAGGCTGGGGTGCTGTGGCAATTTCTTAAAATAAGACAACAGTGAAGTTTGTCCCATCCTGTCACTTGAACACTTAGAGGCCATTGTAGGGTTATTAATTGGCCTGATTTCAATACTGGATCTCTGGGAATAGGGAGGTGAGAAGAGAAAGGGAGAGACAGGGAGCAATCTGGTTGGCGGAACAGTCAGAATACACAAACATTTATCAATTAAGTTTGCCATCTTATATGGGTATGGTTTGTGGTATAGCAAAACAATTGCAATAGTAACATCAGAGTTCACAGCTCACAAGTCACCATAATATAATAATAATGAAATTAGAAATACCACAAGAATTACCAAAATGTGACACAGAGACATGATGTGAGCACGTGCTGTTGGAAAAATGGTGCCAACAGACTTGTTTGATGCAGGATTGCCACAAACATTTAATTTGTAAAAACGCAGTATCTGTGAAGTGCAATAAAGCAAAGCACAATAAAATGAAGTATGCCTGTACTCCTAAGGCTGGGAAAGAAGACTTTGAAAAATGTAGAAGTATTTTGCCAGAACTATTTTCTTTCATGATTACTGATTGTTTGGAGAGTCCATTAATCTGTCTCCCACAAGGCAGCAAGTGAGTTTGTTTGGGCTGGGAAATGCACAAGGGGGTCATCCTAAGGCAGTATAGTATGGTGGGCAGAGCACTGGATCCATAGTCAGAGGACCCAGCTCTGCTACTTACTACCTGTGTGACCTTAGACAAATCAATTAGCTTCATTGTGCCTCAGTTTCCTCATCTGTAACGTGATTAGATTATCTAGAAGGGTTATTAACCTAGGATCTGAACTTTTTTACATTTTGATATACAATTGATTACATATAAGATATGATTTTATATACATAATTGGTTACATATAATTTAATTGGTTTCCTTTATATTTTATTTTATACATTTACGAACATTATTCTAAGAAGGGGTCCATTCAACTGTCAAAAGTAACCCTGATCTAAAAGGTCCCTTTTGATTCTGGTATCTTTTTGATCTTACAGCCAAGATCTATGTGCCTCAATAACAATACCTGACATTTGTATAATCCTTTAGGGTTACAATGAGCTTTACATGTGATCCTCACAACAACCCTGTGAGGTAACAGGAAAAATATTCTCAGCACTATTTTATAGATGTTAGTCAAACACTATGCTGATGGAGACAGAAAATTTCAGTAGCTCATTCAAGTTCAAGGGGCTGATCCAGGGCTGATTCCTAATGCTAAGTTCAAGACTGTTCTAGCTCCGGAGCTGCCTCTTAGGGTGGCCTCCGTTTTTCTAGTTCAGGATCTGGAGCTGGGGAAGCATTAACTTTTTTTTCAACACCTTTAGTCCCTGTGGAAAGAGATTATAAGACTTCATCTCTGGATCAGAAAAGCAGAGAGATCAGCCTGATGGCTTCAGCCAAGAGGATCATGTTCTTTCCTCTGAAGGGAGACAGACAGACTTAGAAAAGCACTGGAATTGGGGTCAAAAGACCTACGTTCAATTCCTAGCTCTGAAACTAGTTGTGTGACCTTGGGGAAGTCATATAACTTTTTTGAGACTCAGTTTTCTCATCTGTTAAATAGAGATACATCTATTACCAGGGTAATTATGAGGAGAGGGGAAGCATCTTATAAACCTTACAATGCTATAGAAATGTGAATTACGATAATTAAGCAAGTGGTCTTAAATATACAAATATTACAGACACTCACATGTGCATATGCACAATGCACATCTGCAGATGGGTAGGGAGAGATGTGCAAATACTCACACCCAAACACAAGCTCTGTATCACTAAGTATCTCTGATTGCAACTGGAATAGCAGGAATGTTACAGGTCAGGGCTGGGAGTGGGAGGGCTTGCTCAAGAGCTCCCCATGATCTGTGTCTTTCTAGTAGGTACTGTGTGTAAGTCCTATCATCTTCTCAAGCTTTGGCCCACCCAAGGGAAGACAAAATATAAACGGAATCAAAGAGAAGAGATTTTATGAAACACAAACACATGATACAACCAAAGAGTAGCTATCGAATCAGGACCATTTATTGCCCCGGGTATGAGGATGACTCCCTGAATTCGAGGAAATTAAAATGAGTAGGAGATGTGATCAGATTCTTCTACCCATCTTGTTTCCTTCATTTGGCAGCAAATGCCTCTTGAAATGAAAGATTTGTGTAACCCAAGCAACCACACTGGGGAGGAAGAAAAGGAGAACCACCTACAAGATTTATGGATCCAAAGGAGATTTATCAAAAGATATTCTTTTCAGCCAACTGGAGATAGGAAAGGGATGCTGACAACTTCTAAAGCAGTAGAAAGAATGTGGCAATGGTGTGAAGTTCCCCTGAATGGAGTTCTATGATAGCTTTCTCTTTTTTTTATAGGAAAAGTCAAATCTCAGAAATGTGTTAAAGGTGCTCCCTCCGTTTTAGGTGTTCCCAGATGGTGATCGGTGGGGAGTAAGACATTATTAGCTACCTCCACTTCCAGACTTAAACTTTGGGATCTTTCACTATAGTAATGACTTGGCTGAGGAAGATGAGAGTAGAATGTAACATCTCCCATGTGTTCACTCCACCAACTTGCACTGCAATGGCCAAGATGGGTCCCCAGAAGAGTAACTTTCAGGGCTCTAGGGTTAACCTTGTTGGGTTGCTGTATTCTTAATATCAGCTCAGAAGTCCCAGCCAGTTTCTTTCCCCTTTACAATCAGTCAGAAGACTCAGATCTTTAGCAAAGGCATTTATTCAAATGTCATAGCAAGAAAAGTTGTTACAAAGATTTTCCCCCTAAACCTGGAGCACCATTCTAAAAATACACACAGAGGCCATAGGGTAAAAATGTATATGAACTTAAAAGAAAATGGTGGTATGGGCACGTACATAACACACATGTGGCTAAAGCAGCTCAGAACTCTGGAACTGTACATAGGGCCTCAATATCTTTTCTCTCTCTAGAGATTTCCCATGAGGCTTGTCATGGAGTGTGGTATTGATCATGGACAGGTTGGTCTGCTGCTCAGTACAGCTAGCTCCTCCTAAGGCTGCTTAATGGATAGCTCAACTGAAGTTGCAAAGAAGGCAACCTGTTGTTGGGCTGGGTCAAGGAGGGCCCATGACTGTTAAGTTGGCTCCTCACCAGGTTTAGCTACTTCTGGGCCAGGCAAATTCCTCTGCTAATAAGCAGCTACTGCCAGACAGAGAAGCATGTCTCCCGGTGGAAAGCATCCATTCACTGGAACAGGAGATGGTGAAGCTCATGATTATTCATGCTGTCTTCAGAAATCCACCAAGTGGAAGGGTCCCCAACAGCCCACGATTGAGACTTTCATGTCTTTAGGTGCCCAAGAAGCTGCATTGGAGAAGCCAATACCAATCAGGTCCCAGGAAAAGTTTTGTCTCCTTTTAGTGAAAGCTAATCCCAGTTGAAAGGGGAAAGGAGGAGGGGTCTGGGCCTACTCCATGTTGTGAGTTTGGGAAAGAGGCTACATCAGGGAAACTAATAACAATTAGTCCTATCACAAGTGCTCATGGCTTTTTCCTTAGGATTCTACATGTGAAATGTTAACTCAGTTTCCATAGGGCAATGGGAATAAACTTTCTATATACAAAGATCCTAACAAGGGGATAAAGGCCTAACTTACTGATGTAGATAAGTATGAATGTATGTATGCATGGGTATAGTCTAGAGTGAGTAATACTGATTCATTTACATTCCCCAGAGTGAGGAAGAATAGTATGGTCATGTAAGAAGCAAAATCACATCCTTATAAACATAAGGGCAGCTAGGTGGTATAGTGAATAGTGCTCTGGGCCTGCAGTCAGGAAGACATGAGTTCAAATCCTACCTCAGACACTTACCAGCTCATCACTTAACTAGAAGGCACTTAACTTCTGTTTGCCTCATTGTAAAATGTAAATTTCCTCATCTGTAAAATGGGGATCATAATAGTACCTACTTTGCCAAGTTGTTGTGAAGATCAAATGAGATAATAATCATAAAGCACTTAGTACAGTGCCTGGCACATAGTAGGCACTATATCAATGTTAGTTACTATTATATTTTTATTATTACCAACTGGGTGACCTTAGGCAAGTCACTTAACCTCTATTTGCTTCAATTTCCTCATTTGTAAATAATAGTACCCACCTCCCAGGATTAAATGAGATAATAACTGGAAAGCACTTAGCACAGTGCCTGGCACACAGTAGGTGCTATATCAGTGTTAGACATTATTATTATTACATTAAGAAGCAAAGAACGAGAGACCAGACATTGTGGAAAATACCACATCAGTTAAAGTTTTACTGATGTTGGCACACTGTTGTAGTATCTTTTTTGTATTAAAAATCATAACTGTCCTATGGGAATCAGGTGACCAAAAAGCCATTTACTTGGATGTTTTAGGACCTATTCTAGTCCTCAGAAGTTGCCAACTGGCCATTTCATATACATGAAACACTCACACACACATACACACTCTCACTGTTGTTTAGTCATTTCAGTCATGAACAACTCTCTGTGACCCTTTGGAGTTTTCTTGACAAAGACACTAAAGTGGTTTGCCATTTCCTTCTCCAGCTTATTTGAAAAATGAAGAAACTGAGGCAAATAGTCACTTAAGTGACCTGCTCAGCTCCTAATGTTTGAGCCCTGGTTTGAACTCATGAAGATGAGCCTTCCTGATTCCAAACCCAGTGCTCTATCTAGCTGCCCCATATACATACATACATATATGAGTGTATGTGTATACATATATATC